GCCACATGGGCTTGCAGAGCCCGTGCACGTACGTTGTCCATTCAATCCTTCCCCCACGTCGGTAAGCTAAGCAGGGACAGGGTTTATTTCTATCCTGGTGTCAGAACTGAGAGTCAGCTGGTTTGGTCAACAGAAACGACTCCTCCTTCCACTGGGGGCCCTCGGAAGCTACCTGCCTCTCCCTGGGCCGCCTCTGCGCTGGAAAGCAAGGAAGCACCTATTCTGCAGCAGAACCCGGGCCCCTCCTGCTTCATATTTTGTCTTTAGAGCTTGGCTTTGAAAATCATCTGGTCTTACCTCCTGCAGGGAAAGTTCCCCCAGCCACTAAGTAGCAGAGCCAGGACTGGGACCTGCCTCTCCTGGAGGCCTGCCCTGTGCTCTTGGTGCCAAGCAGTCTGGGCCTCCATGCTCTGGCTCTCCTCCTGCTTCCAGAACAGACGCTGGAAAGAGAAGCGTACACAGTGACATGGAGGGGCTGGCGATGCTGGTTGTGAAGGCACAGTCTGTACCGAGCACGCCCCAGATGCAGGGAGGCAGGGGGCTGCTGCTGTGACCCCTCGTGCTGCCTGAGAAGTGGGCTCTAGCAGCCCCCTTCCCCCCTGTAGCTTGTCTGCTGTGCAGGCAGGTCCTCTGGGACAAAGGGGGGTATGTCCCAGACCCTCGAAGGCCACGCACCCCCTCTTTGTGCAGGAGCATCAGCCGGCCACCTGTTGTTAATCTAGCCCTGGTAATCCATTCTGTACTGTGTCAGCAGTTCAAAAGGGCACTGTTAGTATTTTTTGCCGACTTCAATTAACGTGAGATTTCAGAGGCCCCTCTGATCACATTTCATCTGTCACAAGTCAGGAACAAAACAGACAGATTCCAGTTGAGAGGAGGAAGGAGAAGGAGTTTATTGCAAACAACAACAACCAAACAGACAGTTCGGGCTGTGCCCGGCAAAGGGTGTCCGGGGAGCGTCCGGCTGGCTCCACTCTCCATTCTGCCCCATGCCTGGGCCCCTAAGTCTCCTTGTCACCAAGATTCCTCCCCTCCCAAAAAAGATGTAAGTGCAATAACTTACTTTAAAAGGCAAGAACATTTCTTTTAATATTTTGCTATAATGGAGTTACATGGTGGTATAGGCAGTAAAACTTTATGGAACTGACCTCATTTTTTTTTTACATTTTTCTGGATTTTTAATGTATTTTTAATATATATTTTTAATATTCCACCCCAGGCCATTAAGCTAAAGGAAAAGTTGCATTTATACAGGGTTAAAATATCTTACAATGAGAACAGTTAAGTATTGGTTGAGGTCCATGTTCCTTCTAGCACTCAGCTCTTATTTCAACCACTGCACACCCAAACAGATTATTAGACATTGAAAACTGTCCTTCAAAATCAGTAGTATAAAGGCCTAGCTCTATGTATGTAAGTGAAGGGGGAAGAAAGGAGAGGGCAGGGTTAGGTCACGTTGGTTCAATGCCGTCGATACTGTCCAGCGGAAGCACCTCTTCTCCCTACGGCATCCTGAAAGAAGTGAAGTGGGCTTGATGGGTCTTTGTCGTCTTCTCATTTTTATGGGGATGGTCACAGATTATTATCCTGGGGGCCAGTTTGCCAACCATCCTCCCCCAGCTAAGCCTGTTTGTCTTTGCACCTGACATTAGGGCCATCACACAGACCAAGAGCCCCCAAGTGTCTCTCGAGTCCTCGAAGATGGTCTCCCCACCGTGTAGCCCAGAGAGTGGCGGACTGTGTCAGCAGGGTACGTGGGAGTTTTCGTGGAAACGTTCCTCTCGTCTACCCAGCGGAAATGACGGGAGAGGGAGCACAGGGCTGGGTCCAGTGTGGTCACAGCAGCATGTGCTGGGGACCCACCTCACCCTGCGGCCCCCTGGCAGTGTCTTTGAACTAACCTGGCCACCGCGCTTCCCGGAGCTGGAGGCTCGGTGGGGAGAGCTGAGAATCAAGTATAGTTAAAAGAATTCAAGGAAAGTGGTAAAAGCCTGTGTCCTCCAAGTGCCATTTTAGACTTGGAGACAAGCCTCTCTGCGTGCCCCCCAGATCCCTCTGCTCCCACACCCTGGGAGTAGCGTCGGCACCTGGAGGGCGGTAGCAGCACCTTAGTGTTGAGCCTTGGCGTGTCGAGACCCTTTCCCAGCGGGGACTTGAGGCTGTCAGTGTTGGGAGGCGACCCCTTCATCTGCCGGCTGCCCATTCCTCCATTTTTAAGTTGCCATTTCTGTTGAGATCTTGGGCAAATAGCCAAAGGAAATCCTCACCTCTCTTAGCTTGTTCGCTTAGCAGTGAACCACACAGCAGGTGGATTCCTCCCTCCTCCTGCCTTCGTGAGACCTGGCTCCTGAGGAAACCAGACGGCCGGGGAGAGCTGCCCAAACCTGCTTAGTCATCCTAGGAGCCCCCCGGCTGGGAAGGACCAGGGCCCCCAAGGTTCTCTTGTGGAGAACTGAGCTGCCCAGTAGATGCAAGTGAGGCTCTGGCGGGGGGCTCCACACAGCGCCGGCCACTCTAGGTGCCAGGCGAGGCCGTGACCCTCGCACCCTGGGCAGCACGTCCCTGGCTCCTCTCTCGGCTTTGCCTCAGGGCAATGGACAGGGAAGTCACTTCTCCTCTCGGGGCCGGGTCTTCTCTGTTGCGAAGGGGCTGGACTAGCTAGTGGGTTTCTAAGCTCCCTTCCAACTCGGTGGTTCTGTGATCCTTAGCATGGTTGGGTGGCCCTAGAGGGCCGGGACAGGGCCCAGAAGACAGCGCTGGGGTAGATAGCCAGCTTTGGAGAGAGGGACAGGGATGTTCACACTGGCATGCTCAATTGTAGACACTTCTTGGCTGTGCTGGTGGGACAGGCCTTCTTCTAACAGAGGCTTTCTCTTCTCAAGCTTTTGGGTTGAAATTTGCCTGATTTGGGTCTAGCCCAGCCAGAATGCAGACACATGGAGGAAGTGCAGCCAGGGGTCCCCTTCAGAAGAATCCACTTAAAGGCCTCTCTCTCCCTCCCTCCTCTCTGGCCTCTGCTGGTTTCCCTCTCTTTGTACGATTCTCTCACGGGGGAGGAGAGACCTGTGGGGAAATTTTCGCCCCTGACCTTCCTCAGCCATGAGAGCATTTCTGCGGCAAACGGGGGGCCGTTCCCAGCTTTAAGTTCTTCCTTTCCTCTGCTACATTTTGGGGAGTCTGAGTTATTTCAGCGAGCCTCAGAACCAGAAAAAAGCTTCCCGAGAGTCACTCCAAGATCCTTAAATATTTAAAACACTTAAAGCCAAGGCTTCAAGAACGTTTAATTCGATGTCTGAGACCCTTTTCACCTCTGTAAGATCAATCATAGAGCTACGGTTCACAAAGAGGTCTGACTCTTATTACGGGAGCCGAAAGCCAGATCCTTCCCCAGTCCTGCTTCCAGCGCGGACCAGAACCCCAGGCTGTGCTTCCCCCAGCCAGGCCTGGGCAGGCCGGGGGCAGCGGCCCTCACTCCTCAACGCCAAGGTTTCCTCCAGCCCAACCCAAGAGACTGTTTTGTGCCCGGGCCTCTGAGCCTGGTGGGCCTGGCCCTCCTCACTGACAGGCTTCGAAGTAGAAGGTGGAAAAGGCAAGTGCTTCTCCCCGGGGGCTCCTGCTGGAGGGACCTCCTGGGGTCTGGCCGGCCTGCCTCGAGGACAGGTCACGGTGCACTCCCAGCTTACGGGAGGGCCGGGCCCTGGCGTCAAACCCAAGCTGCAGGTGTTAGGTCTGGCGGGCAGGGAGCCCCCTTCCCACAGGTGGGACGCCTGCCTTCGGGAGGGCACTCTGGCACCCCGTCTGCCACAGAGCAAGCCACCCAGAGGAGCTCAGCCCCACGAACTCTTCCGGAGGCCAGAGAGAGGGGCTGGGAGTCCCGATGCCCTAGGGGACGGGTGTGAGGAGAAGCGCAAACTCTCCCCGTGCCTGGAGGAACGCGGGGCCCCCACCTGCTGTGGACGGCTCTGGGCAGCGATGACTGTGCCAGAGGTGGCAGGTGAGGCAGTCAGTCTGAGACCGTGGCGGGACCTGG